ATATTACCCGGGCGAGCAAGAGGGTGGAACCTCGAGAAGAGCCACGGATCCCATTTGGAGCGTAGACATCTTCAACGTAGAAAAAAGAACGAGTCAATTTAAAATGATTAACGGTAAAAAAGTCACGACGGGTCCTACTCTTTATTACCTTCAAAACGGTCCAAAAAGGAGTTTTGTGAGACAAGAGCTTCAAGTCGTACCTGAGGACACGCAATTACCGCCTAATTAATATCTAGATTACGGTGACCATAAGCGAGCGTGTGTATTCCATCCGATAAAATGTACCTCTTGGTATCCAACGGACTCAACGATAGTTTATTTTGAGATATGGTGTAAAGGATGTGATTTTCTGACCTAATGTGAGTCATCGTTTCTGTTTTAGATTTATTTTTAAAGATGCAGTCGTAGTAGTGCTGGTGTTTTAATTTTTTGTCAGTGACCGATTTTGTGACCCCCTTGGCTTTTTTAAGAGTGATGTTGTTGTCATCCGCTAAAATCGAGTACATCTTAGGTCTTATACAAACTGCTTCTTGAATGACCTTACCTCCAAACTCGTCTTTAAATTTACCGATCACTTTCTTATTGGTTGGATTGTACAAAGGATGATCTGTTGGGTAATTTGAAAAGTCGTAGTGTTGCCCGTGAGATTGCATGTCTTCGTATATGTCATCCGTGTAAACGACAATCAACAGACTGTCCGTATCAGTATACATCAACCTGATTTGATCTCCATACTTGTCTTTCAATCGGTTGTAATAAAAATCGTACATCAGCGTCTTTGAGAGATCTAAGATGCTCACTCCGCAGTAGATTGGTTTGTTTAACAAGGTTTTAGTCTTGTACGTTTCGACAAACGACAGGTCACATTCTGGAAACGGCGTTGTTGTTTTATAGCTCGGTTTTTGAATTATTTTTTTGTATTTTTCTTGATCGCTCTCGTTATTGTCTCTCAGTAGGTAACCATCTATTCGATTTCTAACGTTTTCCATCGTCTTACCAAACACGCTGTTATTCATCAGTTTAAAAAAGTCTTTCTCAAAATCAGAGGTCGCTTTTGTTCGGAGTTGCGTGTTTTTATCGATGTAAGATTTCATCCAAGGCGCTTGTTTAAATTTTAACACGCGATGTACCTTTTTTAGTTTCAAACCAAGTTTGAGATACAATTGTAATGTGACGTAGTGCAACACGTATTTTTGTTTTGGATTGAGGGTACACGTTAATTTTTGTACGTCGCTACTAGGTTCGGTATCTAATAATTCGTTTTGATAATCAGACATCCACTCTTGGGGTATGATGATGTTTTCTGGTGCTAGGGGAAAATCGTTATGCTTGGTGTGTAGATCGTTCGGGTAATCGAGGTCTACTTCAAAGCAATAACCGGTGTTTGACGTTTTCTTCAGCGTTAATATTCTTTCTTCGGTAAACGGTTTCGAGGGTGTCCATTTAAAATCGCTGTACGGTAGATATTGACTCATAGCCCAACCGTACAGATTGTTGGCATCCAGATAAGCGATATAACTCGAGGGTTTGTTTGAATCGTAGTCATCGAGATATTGATTATTGGCTTTGTGGTATCTCATTCCACCCACGCTCGAGATACCTCCTCGTTTTGCCTTTTCAAAAAATAAATGTTTGTCTACGTCTTGCAATAGTTCGAGTTTAACTTCCGAGTGTTTTAATAGAGCATCCCACGACAATCCGGGTGCGGTAAAATAATTGGCTGGATCTAGCCCGTAGTTTGTAATACACGTTCTTCTAAAGTTTTCAAATACGCCTGCCAGTAATAACGTATCGGTGGTCACGTACAAGTCGTGATATTCTCCTAGATTTTGTATATTAAACTCGTTCCACACGCGTTGAGCTCTGTCGTAGTCTTGTTGCGATATATGTTCGTCTTTTAGTCTGCTGTAAAACTTGCCGATGGGTGGTAGGCTGGTCTCTTGAAACTTATCAAACGAGTTCATATATTCGTAGGGATAAATTCCTTTTTGTAATAGCAAGTCAGAATGTTTAAAATGCTTTTTGAGTAGCTGAAACGACTCTTTTGGGCAAGCTTTCACTAATTTATCCAACGATGATGCCATAAAACTAAACGAGTCTAGAAATCGTAGATTTCCTATCGAGAACGAAATATACTTTTCTGAATTTTTAGCGATCACTTGTATTTCTGTTTGACTATCATATTCTGTCATTCCCTGCATGATTAAATGCGCGTCGTAATTTTGTAAATTGTGAAAAAAGACTGGTATCGGTGTACAACCGGGTTTAATTTGTAGTTTGAGGTTACAATAAGCGTGTGAGGCACCCCTATATTTACCAGTGACGTGACAGTGATCTCTCACCTTTCTAAATTTATTAATGTTCTTGTTACAGTCGAGACATTTAGACTCGGTAAATCCCTTACTATTTTTGTACTGATATTCTTTCTTTTGTTTTATCGTTTTGGGTTCTCTGGGGTTCTGGCACTGACAGTTGCTCGAATAATTGGTATAAATTGGTTTTTCGCAAATCCAACACGTGTTTGTTTTATCGTGATGATCTTTAGCTCGCTCGTTAAATTTCATGGTTTGGGGTTTTTCAAATAGGCAATTAATATCGCTTTGTAATTGTAACAACGTCGTTATAAATCTAGTTGAAGCGTCTTTACCTCTATAAGTCTCTTGATATACATTTTTACCGTCGCATCGGACGACAACTAGCGAATAACCGCTAGCTTTGTGAACGTTAATCTTTTTTGTGTTTGTCTCTTTATCTGTGGATGTTGTTGTTTGTAATATGGATTCAAAGTCGGCATAAATGACAAATGGTGCTTTTTGTTTGTGCCTATAGTTTTTAAATTCTAATATCGGTACGTCTCTCTCTTCACTTGGTTGCCCGTCTATGTATTTTGGTTTACCCAGAGGAAATACAATCTTTGATGGATGCGCATCTATACCCTTACAATCGGTGATATGTTTGTCTAATTTGTTTTGATTGGTAAAATGACAAAGACATCTTCGACAAAAATATTTCTTACATTTATGTTTCGTAACGTCGTATATCAACCTCGTAAAATCTTTTATCCAACAATAGTGATGCTTGTCACCTTTAGAAATCAAAAGCAGATCGATCTCTTTCCCCTTGTAGTTTTTAGACACGTATAATGGATATATCTCACCCTCATAACCATATACGTTTATCGATAAATTATTTTGTCTTTCTATCTTGGGTATCTGATCGACCGGTGTCGGAAAGTCAACGCCTTTAAAACTGAGTCCGTCGTCTTTGGTGTATACAACAGGTTCTTCTTTATGAATTTTGTATTTAGGATTATTTCTTATTTGATTTTTTACTTTATCCGTATACAACTCAAGAGCAGCTCTCAAACACCATCTCAAACACTCGTCGTCTTTGTTTTTGATGTTGATCATCGCCTTCTTAATTTTAAGATATTCGGGTAGGTCTATGTAGGAACTACCTCTCGCTGGATTATATCTGTTGATGTTGATGTATAACGCCATTATCTTTTTTAAAACCCAACCCGATCCTTGATTCGTATACCTTTCATCCTTTTTGAATAGCTCTTCGATCTCTTCTTTTAAAGCCTGTTTTATTTGACTTTGATTTAAAACGGCTTTTTGCTTGCTATAATGAATAGCTTCGATCGTTTCGATCGTACCATCCGGTTTGGTTTTTTCGTATTTTATTTTGATTGTGAGCTCTATTTTTAAACCTCTCAGCTCTCTCAATTCAGACTTGATTTTATTGACTATTTGTTCCTTGTGCGAATCAAAAAACTTGATTAAATCATGGTTATAAAGTCTAGGGTTTAATTCCCAGTTTCTGTAGTAATTTCTAAACCTTCTCGTTTCTCTAAAAGCTGACTCTGTAAAGTATTCGGGTTGTCTGTATGTTTTAATCGTTGAGATTAAATCTTTTTTCAAAACTCGTCCTTTATAACCCGTCGGTACGTATTCTAGATTGTGTTCGTCTACAATCTGTTTGAGCTCATGTAGTGTCTTTTTCCTCAAGTTTTTAAATTGACTTTCATAATGTTTTATCCCCTCGATGTAAACTTTACGAGTAAGAGAAACATTTTCATTGTGCGGTATATTATACCGCTGTACGTAATCACGCAGCGTGGCTTTGTTCCATTTAGAATATCCTTTGACGGTCGGTCTAAACATATTACTCTCCATTTTATTATAGGAAATATAATATTTTTTCTTCATTTTTTTTTGAGGTTAGACTTTTAGATTTATAAATAATTAGACTCCCCTCATTTTAGCGACGACAGATTTTTCTTTCTCTCACTCTCTCTCCGTTAGATTTATTTTTTTTATTTTTTTTTTTTTCTTGAGATCGGGGGGATTTCCCATTGGCCCTGTACTACCCACAGACCTATGACAAAGTCTGGTACCCAGACTTCTCATTAATGGCCCTGTACTACCCACAGACCTATGACAAAGTCCAGCACCCCCGCCTCCCTTACTACTTATGGAGTTTTTGAAAGAAAACCAAAAAACATGTATTTCATTTGGTTAGGTGCTGAGCTATGGTGAGGCGGTCAAGTACATAAGTACATGCAGGCATTTGACTGGGCGTGGCTGGGGCGTGGCTAGGGCGTGGCCAGAGGGAGCCTTGCTGATTTGACCAAGTAAGTGTCAACTGTATTCGGAGTCAAATTATAATTGTTTTACCATGAGCAGACAGATCCAATTCTCTGAAATAATTCTCTTAGACGCACTTTGATGTCTCGTTGTGCCCCTAATCATGCTATCCAATGTGAATTTGTTTGTTTACATCGGTAACATTTGCATTGTTCATAAATAAAATATTCTCCTCTTTGTAACTTTTTAAAATTGTATTAACTTTACATCTGTATTCACATGTATGCTATGGATTTGTGAATTAACGACCATGACTGAAAAGCGACTGTGCATTCTATTCGCTCGCACTTATTTAAATACATGTCATAGCGCCCTCAATCGTTCCCTCACACACCCAATAACTACACTCACCCTGTTGAACCTCTTTCCTTCCCTGTCGCTGCTCCTCGCGTTTCTCCTCGGTAGTACTCGTTGACGGGGGCCGCTGATACTTGGATGTCGCGCTGCCAGGGCGCCCTCGAGGTGCTGGCTTGCCTCGCGCAGCGAGACCGGTGAAATCACCGACGGGGGACAAGTCACCGGCCGCTGATTGGAGTTCTTGGAATCTTTTCGCACACTGAAAATAAAATTCAAATAATTAGCATGTTAAAATATTTAACAGAAACTAATGAAACTGTGATCGGGGCAAGTCCCAGATCAGGTGATTGGTTTGCTTTAGGATAGATAAGATTGGAACTTTGAAAAATATTCTGTATTTTCCGATCTGAAGAATTGCTTAATTCAGTAGGCCAGTGAATCGCATTAAAAAAAAATGAATATTGACTAGTAGTGTTATGAAAGGCACCGAACTATTCCGCAAATATTTATAAATAGCCAAAATTGTTGGATATGCAAATGATCCTACCATGGCGCACTGCTTAACATGTATTTAAGGGGACAGGCTTGGGGGAAAAGACCCCTGTTACACCATGGAGGAATAAGAATACATTCCTCCATAGTTACACATACCTCTTGTGGTGTAGTGCCAGGGATGAGTTTAGCGATAGCCTCCCAGTTCTTGCTCTGCATATTGTTGAAGTCCGATGAGTTCATGAAGGTTCTTAGCATGAGATCGAGGGCCACAGCCCTTGAAGGACTGTCTCGACGAATCATGGTGAATCTCTCGCCGCACAAGTACACTCGCTGTCAAAACAATATCAGTAACAAAATTGATAATGAAATCTGAAATACAAAAAAATTGTTTTCGCGCTTAGGCCTTCCATAAAAATAGTGTACAGAAGGTTGACGGTATAATAATAATAATAATAATAATAACGAAGTTTTATAAAGCGCACATATCCACCAAGGTGCTCAGGGCGCTATTACAATGAAAACTAAACAAAACAAAATCAGTTTAATTACGAAAAAACGGATCTTTCGACATGAGGTGTGTTTTGAGAGATGTTTTGAATGAGTGAATAGAAGTGGAGGTTTTGATATGAAGAGGTAGTTGATTCCAGAGATGTGGTGCTGCAACAGAGAAAGATCTGTCCCCCCAGGTTCATGTGGTATAAATACCACATGAATCTCTTTTTTTCTACAGGGGTTAAGAGGGCAAGAATGATCGTGTATCTGTTGGGCGTGATCGGCAGATCTGCGTTAGCACTCGATGATCGCACAGAAATGCACTTGTGCGATCGGTCGATCTTAGGAGACTCTAGCTGGAGTTACCCAGCCCTGAATTTTATCATTGGGCCTACCATTGCCTACATGACAACCCAATGATAAAATTCAGGGCTGGGTAACTCCAGCTAAGGAGACTCAGTTTACTTCCCTTTTTCAAAACAATCCTCCACAGTTGTGAATATGAAAGAAAAGATGAGCGACTGATGATGGCATGATCGAACGAACGCGCAGCGCGATCGACCGAACCGACCGATCAAGCGAAAGCCCAATACACAGTAATGACAATGGCAGTGCAGTGTTCTGTGAAAAAAAAATATCAACTGAATTTGTAAAGGTTTATGTCGATCAAGTTTTCGAACCTAAATCTTCTCAATATGAACTTGTAACTCGCTCCATATAAGCACCAAATGTACAGTGCAAATATATTTACATCATCAAATGTTTAGTTTTACATAAAGACTCGTAAAATTACGAAAAATGTGTTCCTACCAAGCGCACAAAATGATCGAACCGTCGTCTGCAAATTCCGTTGTCAATGTAAATTATAGGGCGCCCTCAAGCGTCGACTCAGATGCGGTAAACTTTCACCATTTAAAAATAAACTTTCACCAGTCGGTTGCGAAGTTTTGAATTTAAAAATCCCCCTCTTTTGCAGAAGTCATAATTATTCCGAGTATTAAGTTTTATTTTCCTGGTGTGAGCTAGGCCTATTTTTGGAAGTACTTGTTACATGGACAAAACTGTAGCAATAAAAACAACTGTTCCACACTGTCCTCCATGTCAGTAAAATGGTTTGATTTGAAGACATTTTATTTCATGCTTTTGAAGAACACACACAAAGCTACCCTACTTTAAGAATAAGACACTCGTATATTATCACATAAATATTAAAACAATTGCAACCATACATTTTCATTCACCTCAGATGCAAAGCGATTTCCACAAAAACAAAACAAGCTTCAAATCAACTCTTAGGATCAGTTAAAAAATCATACAAATTTCTTGCATTTAGGCAGAAGAGATTATATTTAGAAAATAAGACGAGTTGTAAAAAAAAGAAGGAATTTGCATTTGTAAATGCTACAATGAAAACATCAATTTAATTGTAAGGACTACAGACGTTAAAAAATAAGCCTATCAAAGTACATGTACATATTTCTAGTGAGATTATGGATACAAATATTTCACTTAAAAAGTGGCAGGAGTTTTTTTTTTTCGTTTCTGAATTGCAAGTGTTATTTACAAAGTCCTTAGGAAACAGCTATAAGAATAAAGGCAGTGCATTTTGCAGAATTCAAACAATATAAACAAATGTAAGAAAAACAAAAACATTACAGAATAGCAAATACTATTTAAAAATTGCTTAAGCAATTTCACATGTTGTGGATAAAAATAACGTAATTTCTTTGTGTCAACTAAAAGTTTTATCTTTTACATCAGCTATATGATTGAATTATAAATTTTATTTTGAAATAATCAAGTGACTGTTATTCATGTTAAACTTTGGACGTCGCCATCTTGTGCTCAAGAAACAGTACTAATGTACCATTTCTTTGCTAGTAGGCAAATAAAACAGTTTCTAAACTTCTAAATATTAGAAAATAAAAATAGTACTGAAGTCTTGGGGAAAATAGACTTGTTACATTTCTTGGCACTTTTGGTCACTGAATAAATAATGAGCACTGAATAATTCATATTTTTGAATACTTTTTTCATCTCAAAATAAGGCAGTTTTTCTCCATTTTGGAGCAAAAGGGAAGGCACTAAATTTTGAAATTTATACTTAAATATGTGCACAGTAAAAATTGGAGTTGCTCACATACATGGTAGATAAATACAATCTATCGTAAGTTTATAATTGGATGAGGAAAACTAACAATACTTCACACATTTTCTTTAGATATTCTGTAGGATTGTCATTTGTCTTGGCCACTTGAATTATTAAAAATCAGAATAATTTGTTAACTATTTTAGGAAGGCAGGCACAACAATATTTGATTTAAAAATCACACACAAGCATTTTTTTTAAAGTTCACTTAAAAAATACTTACTCTTAAGGTTTTTAAAATGTCTACCCTAACTGTATTTCTAGATTGCTCGTCTACTTTCCTTCCTTTTCTAATTTAAGATTTTATGTCCAAGATTTCAGTTCCTGAGTTTCGCTGGTTAAAAAAAATGAACTTGTTTTTTGGGGATAGCCCTCCCCTCTCTTGGTGAAAATACATGTGGGTCATTCCTATAAATTTGCAGTCCATGTTTTCCTGTCCCTGTTACATCTGACATCTACGATAATTATAATTCTGATGCACTCCTTAATGCAGTCATCCTCCAAGTGTGAATATGTGAAGAAAAGGACCCAGCCAAGTTTCAAGTCATTTTTAATGATACTCGATTGGCAAATTACAACATTTTGAGGTAACAGGGACAGGAACGAATATCACACTTTGGACAATAATTTATAGAACGACCCATGTTCTAATGACAAAGCCGCATCATAATCTCTTGTTTGGATCATTAAGCCGTGTCTGTATTACTTGGCTGTGGCTAGAAATAATACATGGGTCTATGGGAAGTGGCTGCAGCGGCTTCCACAGCCATGTGTAATTTCTAGTGTAGCCATTAATTTGGACACAGCATTAGTCTAGGTCAATTGCAACCTCATTGGAATGTGCTGACAAAAGACCTAGCCGTAGCTCTGTACCTGACACAACCTAATTAGTGAGGGTGATTTAGAGCCATTTTCCATGATGACAAATACCGCCCTCTATCGTCCATGCACAAAGCCATTAACACAGCAATTTGGCTACTCCTGGCTCCCAGTCGGTGGGCTTCTGATGGAATCATCCTGCCATGAAAAATAGAAGTAATTCTGTGTTTACTTTTTGATGATGGAACAGAAAATCCTAATTTATTGATAGACAAATTTACATTCAGGGGAGGGTGGGGTGGAGGGTTGGAGATGGGATGAATGGGTTAGAGTTAGAATTAGGGGTAGGCTTAGGCTAATTAGGGTTGGTTGTAGAAATATGGAGGCAATATAGTGTGTGTATGGGGTTTTTTTTGGGGGGGGGGGGGGGTAGGGGAGGGGGTTCTTATGGGGGATTGTATAGGCCTTTTATTCTACCTGTTTGCTGGGTTTGTTGATATACGGAGGCAGCGTTGTCTGTTCCAGGCTTTGTACCATCTGTCTGGACTCAGTCAGTAGACGGTGCAGTTTACTGGTCGGTGATGTCTCCTCTGCTGGGACCTGATTCAAATAAACACAATTCAATTCATCATGAATCGTACTTTGACAAATAAAAAAATTCAGTTTTCCTGAATTTCAACTCTGTGTAGTAGCTGATGACACTTTTTTATGTTGGGATTAACATTTGGAAGTCTAATATTTTGTTAGATATTGAATCAGGCAAAATATGCTAGAAAACTGGAGCTGAAAAAGTAAAAATGTAAAAGATGAAAATTTGACAGAAGCTCATCAATAACTTTGATAGGTAAAGGCACATTTAATATTTCAGCAATTTCTATTTATGTAAAGGAATTATTTTAAAAAAAATCAAAACTAGAGGTAAAAAATAATGGCTAATTTAATTTTTTTTTCATCTTTTTACAGAAATGGCAAACAAAACCCACAGGAAGATGAATATCCACAAGAAATCTGTTACTCGGAATAGTCTGGTATGCTTTTGAATGGTTAAGTCATTTAAGAGTAGTACAAAGTACAAAACATGTCATAGCATTTCATGTATGCTTTTTAGTAAAGTTAATATTATTTGTCAGAAGTTGTTCTGCAAAAGCCAGATTTCTGACCTCTCCTGATGAGTCGGCAGTCAGTAGGTCTTCAGTGTCACCGCTGCTGAGATCAGGCACTCCATGGTCTCCGTTGTCCTCCACTAGAGCGCCCCCTATCAGGCTTGTGTTATGCAGTGACGAATCGCGGCTTTTCGCAGATGCGTTGGCGGGGGACTGCGACGTGTTGTGGCTGCGATTCAGTTCATCGTGTCTACAGTAAAAATTCATTTATTTCTTAGATGTGATTCATTTATTCCCTGCAGATAGTTTCTTACCAAAGCCAAGTGTGAATGAGTAACAAACTGAGTTTTGAGTATCTCATGAGTACTGTGATCTAATGAGTTCTTCTTTCTTGCTGTACAGGTGGAGTTGAAATAGTGAAAGACAAAACCCAATACCAGAAATTCACGAAGGGACAAGGCCGAATATCAGTGAGTAACAATCTGAGTTATGAGTATCTCGTGAGTACCTAATGTGAGTTGTTGAGTTGCGATCTAATGAGTTCTTCATTCTTGCTGTACAGGTGGAGTTGAAGTAGTGAAAGACAAAACCCAATACCAGAAATTCAAGAAGGGACAAGGCCGAATATCAGTGAGTAACAATCTGAGTTATGAGTATCTCGTGAGTACTCACTGTGAGTTGCTGAGTTGCGATCTAATGAGTTCTTCATTCTTACTGTACAGGTGGAGTTGAAGTAATGAAAGACAAAACCCAATCCCACAAATTCAAGAAGGGACAAGGCCGAATATCAGTGAGTAACAATCTGAGTTATGAGTATCTCGTGAGTACTCAATGTGAGTTGCTGATTTGCGATCTAATGAGTTCTTCATTCTTGCTGTACAGGTGAAGTTGAAGTAGTGAAAGACAAAACCCAATACCAGAAATTCAAGAAGGGACAAGGCCGAATATCAGTGAGTGACCAAATGAGTTATGAGTTCTCACTGTGAGTTGCTGAGTTGTGATCCAATGAGTACTTCATTATAATATACATAAGTGAAGGGCAAAACAATTTTAAATTCAAGACGGGTCCCAAGGCGAGTATGAATGAGTAACAGAGTGATGAGTATCTCATGATTACTCACTGTGAGTTACTGAGTTGTGATCTAATGAGTACTTCATTCTTGCTGTCCAGGTTGAGTTGTAGTAGGGACAGATCTCTATGTTGTCTCTCATACACCTGTCGCAGGTTGGTAAGCTCAGCGTCGGTCCTCTCCTGCTTCGAGCGCTGTAAATCTAAGAGTTGGTCTTTTCTCTTTTCTCTTTCACCTTGAGGGAAAAGATGGTAAAGAAATTGATATACAAACAGATTTTTCACTGGAGATCTTAACCATAAAACGGCAGGGATCTGGTTAACCGTTTAGTCTCTTCACCAAATTCAATTTTGAAACTCATGAGTTGACTTTTTTTATACCAGAAGCGTAAGGGGTTTAGATGATCATGTATGGACAGAAGTTTTTCAAGAGTTTTAAAAAAGGTGATTTTATCCGGACTGACCTGCTAGCGTGAGTTCCTGCTGCAGTGCCTGTATGTCTCCTTGTAGTTGCCCTAGCTCTATGCTCTGCTCTGTATTGGTATTATTCTGCTCATTCAGCTGACCTGTTCAGTGACGAAAGAAAAGGAGATGAGGCATGCCAGTGCACAAAATTCTATTTAGTTGATTCACAATGGCTGTTCACTGGGAGTCTTTTCATGCAGCTGTCTGCACAATGGGCTGAATGTAGCACATTCATTGGCATTACGAGAGAATCCTATACAATAGAACTGCCCGGCTTTCTTCAACAGTTTACAGTCTCAGTCACACAGGGGAGTCAGTCAGTCAGTCAATCAGTCGGTCAGAAAGGTACAATGAGGACACTAGGCTGGCCCTTTTAGTCCTTTCATTGGCATGTTGGAGTAATCCTATACAATAGCACTGCCCGGCTCTCTTCACCAGTCAACAACCAGTGTAAGTCACATGTGACAGTCAGTCAGTCAGTCAGGCGTAATAAGGACACTAGGCTGGCCCTCTGGGACCGGCAAAAATCAACAATTTTTATAACTCACTGGTCTGTTTTTCCAGTTCTTGTTTTACTTCATTGTACTTTTGCTTTGACGTAGCCAACTCTTTCCTTGTAGTTGCTTCTGTATGACGAAGTTCCTAAATAAAAAAGGGAAAATTACCTTAAATATCTGTGTTCACAGAAATAAGACAGGAGTTGACCTGTTACAGAGCTCATAACAACAATTATGTACTGTAGTTCTCAGATCAGAGTGAAAATGAAAGTTATTTTTGTAACTTTGATGTGTTTACCTTGTTTGCGTGGTCTAATCTTTTCAACTTGCTGCTCATGTCCGTGATATGAGCCGATGCCTCGGCTAAATCGTTGTCCTGGGGGGGAAAAAAGACAAAATTAAACGATATTGAGACAAAAGTTTATTGACACTACTTGGGATTTCTGACGGTATATGTTAAACTGGCGAAAGTACTTTTATTTGCTTATAACACTTTAAACTGAGAAACATCCAATATTATGATCAAGTCTGAAGTTATGGCTATATTTGTGTCAAAATATTGAATTTTCCGCAAGTAATTTTGTAGAATACCTGCTATGCAATTTTTGTGTATGACAATCTGTCAAATTTATTCAAGAAAAAATCACTGTGTTTATAAATCTATTTGTCCTGGTACCATCATCAGGTTGTAACGGTAATACAGTGTAGTACAGTGTACTAAAATGTAATACAATGTAATACAATGTGCTACAGGTGATAACCGTTAACCATTTCTATTGACCTTCAGTTTCAGCATTGTCATCAATTCTTGTTCCCTGGCCTCAAAGTGACCGACTTGACTGGAAAGGTTGCGGATGATGGAATTCAATTGCTCATTGTGCTCCTGTGAAAAAACCCCAGAATTAATGCAACTTCTTCGTTTGTTAAGATAAACAAATCTCAATATGCAAATCAAAACTGATAGTTTTACAAAAAATTCAAGGAATCCCTTATAATGCTTTCTATTTGTGGCAATTAAAAAAAAAATAGCTCTCTGATAAGTGATAATTTTTTAATTCCAATTTTATGAATATATTAACAAACCACATTGAATTGACCAATAATCAAAATTATTTTCTAACCATTTTAACCAAACTGTTTTAACGTATCACAAACTTTCTGAATCCAATTTAAGGAAATTGTGAAACTAATATTTAACTTGTACCTCCATTTCTTTGATTTGTTGGGAAGCTGTGCTAGCTTTGTCCGACACCTGCTCCAGTTGCTTCTGCGTTGACTGCAGCGCTAGCTCCTTAGACTGGTCTTGCGATTCAAGCACCTTCAGTTTTGTTGACAGAGTTTTGACTTGGTCCGTTCGAGTCTTGAGCTCACCTGCAAATCAATGGAAATATTAACTGAAATACTAAGTGAATATTTTATTTCGTTTTATCTTTTAACTGGTATTGAAACTTGTTTCATTCCATGGGTGCAATAGATTGTTTCATTAAGTCCCGCCCCATTATGTGTTGACCAATCACAAATGAGACTGCAACCGGCATGTCTAACAAAAGTCCGACATGTGTATGATGTGTGCCTGGAACATGCAATGTAGCATTTGAGAAGCGCATGTGTTGTTGCCCAATTTGCAAAGTGGGTGTGGCTTATGGCTATATACAATAATGCTCATTGTCTTTATAGGCAGCTTTGAAGGTCTTTGTATGTGCTAAGTTTCAAGTGCAAATCAGTGTATGGGATTGGGATAGAAGGAAACAACCAAAAAGAAAACATTAACAAAAACAAAGGCTTTTTTTGAAACTTTTCGAAAAAGCCAATTAACTTGTTTTTGGGTACCTTCTAGCCTGGAATAACGTTGTTCCAGTGTGAGCAGTTTCTGTCGATCCTGTTCCCAGGCTAGCAACTGTTTCTGGTGAGATGCTACCATCTCGTTCAGTTCCCGGTCTCGGTCTTGAAGCTCACCGATCAAAAGATGCAACTCCTTGCGCTGTTTCTGGATAGTTGTGGTCTCGAGCTCAGACACATAACTCTATAACCAAAGACAGAGGTTCCCTTTTTCATGAGTGTTTCAAAAGGGGAAATTGCACTCAGATATGAGGTATTCTCTGCCCATTTTCATATGTTGTGCTCAGTTAAACTTTGTACTAAATTTGAGAAGGAATTTCACAATTTCAAAGTTGATTGAGCTAGTTCACTTTGTCTGAGCAGATTTTGTCTTCTTTTATTGGATTGGTTTCCATCCTAAATGTAGATTTTCCTTCAAAAAACAGCACAACTAGTAGTTAGATTTTTGGCAAATTTTAGGTTGTTTTGGTTTTTAGAGAAATGGACCATCATGCCTGTCAATCAAAGAGTGCTCATTGACCAATCAAATCATGAGTTTTTGTCAGGTGACCACAGCAGTTAACTCTCTAAGGTGGGCGGGGCTTGTGACCTGTCACCATGGCACCCATTACTTACATGTCTAGGGGGTGAAGACCCATAGCCTCGCGTCGGACTCCCAACTCGCCCCCGACTTGGACTCAACGAGGTTCTCCCATTTCCAACACTGGGGGAGCCCCGACCTTTCCCAGTGGGCGGGGACGACCGGGTATAGCTGAGGGTGGGGGCCGAGGAATGATTGACGGGAATGGAGGACATAGCGAAGGACGATAAGTGGGCGGAGCCAGGCGATGTTGTTGTTCTGGGCGTGCTGTGATACGGCTCGTAGCTACCCTTGGCATTACCTTAAAGTTAATGTTCAATGGGAAAAAAATGACATAAGATTCTGAACATATTTCATAATCATCAGGGAATAAATACAATGTAATACAATGTAGCATAGGTGCAAATGGATTAATACACATTACAAATAACACAAACACCTGCTTTAATATCTCTGAAATGCCAACATTGCAAGCCATGTTTGAGGATCGACCGTACCTGCCGTCATTCGTGATGATCTTTTGCTACTTGGTGTGTAGTCTCTATGACTGTTGCCATGGTTTCCAAGTAGTGGTGTTGAGAAGGAATGGCTTTCCATTATGAAATGAGTGGACAACACAAGACCTAGTATTATAAAAACAATGAATTAGAATCACAAAAATGTACAAATGATAACAAAATAAATGAAATTCCTGAAGTCTATTCAAGTGTTTGGTAGCTCAGTAGTATAAATATGCACTTTGCAAAGATTCTGAGTTCAAAAACTTGAATCTCCATTTTTTTTGGGGGGGGGATTGAAATTAACGAAGTTGTACAATTCCCCCCCCCCCCCAATTTTTTTTTTTATATATTCTTGTTTTGTGTTTTAAATTAAATCATATTGTACTTTTATTGGAGTAGAACTACTTGTTTTATTTTAATTCATGGCTGTGAAGGAATTTTCTAAGGGAAGCAGTACAAAGCCCCCCCCCCCAGCCCAGCCCCCTCTCCTCAAGCCCCGCCCCCTCACCACACACTTTGTGGTGCACGCAACTGGTGCAACATAATTCCGTAAATAATCTCTAGCTAATGATTAATATTATCATACTCATAGGTGATCATTTAACACTTATTTGGTTTATACGAATAACTTAACGAAAAGTACGTTAGATCATGGAGGTAGAATCTCACCGAAACGCAGGAAGAAAATCGAGAACAACGCCACGAAACTAGTCCGGCGTACACCGATGACATCGCATCGCGGGCAGTTTTTTGAACTTGTTTATTTTTGGTAGGAAATAGTCAGGCTCCCGATTCATCTCACTATTTTTACAGTGAAGGACGCCTGGGAACCCACCACATTTTCGTAAAGTACTTCACTTACCAGTTTGAATCTAGCCGCGACTCGGGCCCGATTTCGGGCTGCAAACCCAGTCGGCCGCGAACTCACACGCGCAGAAGCATAACATTTACAACCCATGTAGCACAGGGAGCTCCAAAAATTATATTCGCTTTGAGAGTCCGTCATTTTTTTATTTAATGGAACGAATACCAGGAAATTAAACATAAACCACAAATTTCTAGCAAATGACTTTTTGAAAACATGCTATAGAAAATATCTACATCTAATAAAAAATGACTTTGACCTTTTTTTAATTTCCAGCCTTTACCTTTTGTGCATGGAGCCTGCTTAGGTTTAAGGACATGTCACAAAGTGTACCTCACATGCTTGAAAAAGTTAATAATTTTTTTTATATATAATCTGAAAGATAATATCACTGGACACACTTCATTTTAAATGAGGCTTAAGCTATAGTCCATTCTTTTGTTATTAGTGCATTTTGTTCGTTTGAAGCAACAAAAGTGTTCAAAATCTAATGAAGGATACTGAGCAACTAACCTGATGAAGTTCCAGCTAAGCTTCAGCTGTACATTCCGAGAAAAGCAGCATTCTAAGATCTCAATTTCAAATCAAAAGTTACTGAATCATGTTTTGAATTGTTTTGAATTGCAGCTATACGCGGCGTCGCGCACTGATCCGACGAATTATAACAACCGCGCGCGCGTGTGCGTCGTTCCAATACTTGCGCGCGCTTCCCTGAATAACAAAACGAACTACTAATTTAAATTTTCCTACGGTGCTTCTTAAGAATCACCGTTGGAAATGCCTTCTTTCGTTGATTACTTCAAAATGACAGCTTCCCAGAGAGAATAATTTCACAGGGAGTTTAGTTCCCTTACTATCTTTCAACCAAGTTTGTTTTTCAACAATAATTACGCCAGTTACTTTTCGGATGGCTGCAAATGATGGACTATAGCTTTAATTAGCTGTCTAAGTATTGCCAGCCTCACCAAGGGAACTTCTTTCCCCTATTTTGTTCATGCAGAAAGTGTATACCTGATATGCTTGAAAAACAAATGATATTTGTATTAAATACTTAAATTTAGAAAGGCAAAATCGATCCACTAAAGTGGCATGTTTCCAGACATCTATAACAGAAAGTGTACCTAACGTGCTTGGGAAAAAAGGCATAGACTTTTCTGAAAGATCCGGACACATTTGTGATGTATCTTTCAAACTGGCATGAAGATATTGGGAAAGGATGCCATTTTCTTTGAGGCTGGCCATGATAAGAGGAACCAATTCAGCATAATAATCTTTCGTATTATGCAATAATACAATGTAAATAGGTTATTAAGCCAAAGTTGGAGAGTACATAAAGTTCAAAATCACAGAATTTTTCTAAAGTCATTTAACAAAACTTTGTCTTTCATGCTTTAAAAGCTAGTGTACTTTCGTTACCGGTTGTCAAAGCGAAATTTGCGGGAGCTCCCTGTGCTGCATGTATTTTAAGCTTTTTCTTCCGCGTTCGAGGCCCGAAATCGGGCCCACATCGCGACTAGGGCTAGGTTGGTTCATTTTCATCATCATCGGGAATCTATATCACGTAAGGACACACGTTGATTTTTTTTTTTATCATCGTTTACTGAAATATTGTGAGCAGTTAGTTCATATATACAACCGTTATTTAGCTGAGTTATTAACCAGAATTTTATTTGAAGTCAGCTGGTTGTTGCAAACAATTACAGTGGGGCATGTGGGGCATGGCACCATTCGCGAACGGTGACATGACAATCAAGACAGTGTCAGTGATCAATGAAATTCACGTGTCTATACTGTACTAATGTATTTCGAATGACTGTTTTAATTTGATGATACTCTGTCCGATAATCTTATTTCCTTGTATAAAGCAACTTAGGTTAAAATTAAAAACATGAAAGTAAAGTAGGCCTATATTGTGAATTGCATTTGCAGCAGTGGTTTCGAACCTGGATCCCTGCAGTTTACTGCAGCATTTCTGGTTGGACGTGCGGGCCTAGTTTATATTAATATAAAATTTTAACTTTTTAAGTGATATTCGCAATGGTGCTTTCACAACAGGCCTACTGCAACGATAGAAGTTAAAAATGGCGTTACGGCTACCGAAACGATAGCCCCTACGATTTACTTCATAATTTTTTTTGGGGGGGGGGGGGGTGGGGTTAATAATGACTCATATATCATGTTGAAATAGGCCTAGCTAGAAAAGAGTTTATTATAAAATTTAAAAAATGCTAGTTTGCATCTATTTGTATTTATCCGTTGTATTTATCCATTAATAGTAATAAAATAATAGACAACCCAAAGATAAAATGTAGGGCTGAGGTACCCCAGCTAACTTTCCACCATGTTCTTGTCTTCATCATCAGCCATTGAGTTTCCAACAAGTCTCTCCGATGCAAATGGCACTACGTTGACTGTTTAACTTGAATCCCAATTTTCATCTTAATCATAGAATTAGCAGTCATGGCAGAAGCTGATGTCACTGACCCCGTCGATCTGAATGAAGACTCACAGAAGACCAAACCAAAAAAATCGAGCAAGAAGAAAGACGTATCCTATCCATTGAAAGTTGTGTACTGTGGAGGTAAGATTTCTTGTGAAATTGACATGATTGACCTTAATTATATTCTTGTCTTTCAAAACACAACCTTAACGTTCGTCTCCCTTGCCATATTTCAGTGTGTTCCATGCCCGTGGAGTACTGCGAGTTCAACCCGGCTTACAAGGACTGTAAGAAATGGCTCGCCGAGAACTGCCCAGATTTGTTTGAGAGGCTGACTATCGAAGAGGAGGCGGATGCGGGAGATGGGAAAAAGAAAAAGCAGAAAAGAGGTTCGTCTTTAGGCTATGGCTCAGAATTATGCATGCGCCTATGGAAGCATTTGAAGCTATTTGCCATAGACTTGTGTGTCACTTCCAGCCAGAGCCAGTCATTGGGCCTTACTTTGTCTCTTTTTTTTAGACTCAAGATTTTTCCTCGTGCATGTTTATATGAAAGTAAAGTGTGTTGAGAGCCAATATAGCCCATCAGGCCGGCGTTTATCCCCGGTTTCCTTGGCATGAAATGACTGAGAATATTTCTCTGGATGGGATGCCAGTCCATCGCAGGTTACTCCCCAGCTAATGTCGGTACCCATTTATACTCCTGGGTGGAGAGAGGCAAGTGAGGTAAAGTGGCTTGCCTAAGGACACAACATGGCCAGCAGTTGCATTCAAACCTCTGACCCTCTGATCATGAGTCATAAACCTTTCAAGACAGGCAATGCCCTTAATGCTTTTCAATCTTTTTTTTTCTTAACTAGCATTGGTTTCTACATACTTTGATAATGCTGTAACCCCAGTAATTTGATTTGCTTTAATAGTTCTCATGTACACATGCAGAACCCAATGCCATTTTATTGGCATGCAAATATTTCAATCGATTTGACCTCATGTTAGAGGTCACAGGGACAGGTTTTTTTTTATCTCTGACTCTGTATCTGAGTGTGATATTGAGATGGTGTTTTCCATACTTCTTTCCTTGACTTTCTTTGAATCTTGAGCTTTATTCAGCATTTGTAGCCAATCATTAACTCTGGTGGTTAATTGATGCAAAATTATGCAAATTTGTGTAAAAATTAACTGTTCAGGAGGAAGAGGTGTGATGAAAGTGAAGAAGAAGGCCGAGCCACAGACTGTAACAATTTCGAGGATTCAACGTCAGAAGAAGAAATACGTCACAGTAGTACGGGGCATCGGTTCACATGGTAAGACACAGCACATGTCTATATGGGTCTATTATCTGATAGGCCTATAGATTATGCTTAGGGTGTTGTTTTGGGTGCGATTTGCAAATCTGGCTTAAGTTGTAAGTAAGCTTTTCTGAATAAATAACAAAAAATTGAAGAGCGCCCTCAAGTGTGTGTACATATGGGTCACCTGCAAATTTGCTTAAAGAATAACCGATTGCCAATGATTGTTGCTCCTCCAGACATAGACTTAAAAGATGCGGCCAAAGCTTTTGCGTCACGGTTCTCTTGCGGTGCATCTGTCTCCGGGGACGATGAGATTGTTATCCAGGGTGACGTCACCGATGATCTGCTGGACTACCTCTCAGAAAAATTCAATGTAAGATACTTTTCAATCTTGCGATTAAACTATTTTTGCTGCAACAGGCTGTCCATACTAGTTCAACAAGCTGCTGGTATGCAAACAATTAATTGTGCATGCCGTAGACTTTCTTTGGAAACTGGTCACAAAAACGATTTTCATTTGTGACTTTCTGCTTTTAAGACGTGGACAAATTGGGGAGCCACCAACTTAGTGCTGGATAGCTAAGTTGGTAGAGCACCGGAACAGAAATCCAGAAGTCGCAGGTTCAAACCCCGCTCCAGTCAATTTCTTTGAAAAAAATTCTTGCAAGATTGTCAGAGAGTTTGTCAATTCTGAATTGTGCTCAGGGTTTTAAAAGAGTGCCAAATCCTATCCTGTACTGTGATGATACATCTTACAAATACCAACATTTTGCCATGACCAAAAAACTTGGAAGTATATGAGTCTGCTGTTTTCAGATTGTATCAATCTAAACATTTATGTCTTCGTCTTATATTTCAATTTTGTCTTTCTCGTTTCAGATTGATGAAGATAATATAGAAGATCTAGGAGACGTGAAGAAATGAAAGCCAACTCTACTTTATTCACTTCATTATAGACCTTATGCATTGCCGGTACCTCGGAGGCTGGTCTCTGTTATTTTATTTTAGTAACAATGAATGCCAAAAGGGTTTACTCATACCTATCCATGCAATACAAAACCATTGCCCTCAGACTCCGCCTTCATGCATAAGGTCTATATCTTATTAATATGGTCACATCGATTTAATAATGCTGATACTCAGATACTTACCTTTCTGTTCAAATGTTCGGGCAGTTTAATGCAAATGGTAAGAACATGTAACAGGCCCGCCAGTTTCAAAGGGGTTTTACAGCTAACTGTCCTTGACAAAATTTTGCACCACACTGCAATAATATTGAGTTCCCTGCATTTAATATAGCAGAGACTTTTACAATACTGGGCCCAATTTCATAGCGCTGCTTAACAGCTGACTTTGTGCTTACCGAGCCTCCATCTATTTCATAGGGACCGTTAAGCAGTAAGCACAGCAAAATCACGCTTAACCCCAGAAGAAAACTTTGCTTAAATCAGTGACGTAACAATAGAAATCTCCATGCGCGTGCAACCCTTAGCATGAAATAGTGCTTAAGCAGCAGCATGATTTTCTGCTATAGTAAGTACAACTTTTCTGCTTACTGTTAAGCAGTGCTATGAAATTGGGCCCTGGTATCTGGGATATTTTGTCTTGCTGTAATTTCAGTCATATGTCTTTGAGATGTGCAACAATTTTGTTTAGCTGCCATGTTGAGCAACACAAAATTTTATTACTTGCATGAAATTAAAAGTAATAAAAAATATTAAGTAATAAATTGAACATGAAAATAATTTAAGTAAATGTGTTCTTTTTAATTTGAAGGTTAGGTTCCCTTGCATATTGAACTTCCATTCTGAAGAAATAGTAATTCTTTAACATTGAAAGTTTTAACAATTAGTGTTCCTATCTTTTGATTTATTTATTAGGCCGAACTTTCGCTCGGCCAGTGAAAAATTATTAAAGACTCATCAAATTGCCCATCTGCACGGAAATCTTTAGTAAAAGGCGAAAGATTTATGCGAAATGCAGAAAAGCCTGAGTTACCCAATAAATGGATGATTTGAGGCTACCCCCTTGAGATGTAACATGACACTCACAGTAAGATGAAACCAACGTTAACCCTCGATTTGTACAGGCATCTGCGCATGACCGCCGTTAGGTCACGCATCACTGATCCATTTGTTATGGGCGGGGCTGCTGGGCGGGGCTTGAAATGTGTTGCAATGTGGAAGGGGTACCCAGTGCCCACGATTCGTGTTGTGTTATCACGCATAAATCCTAGCCAAATTTTGTTTTAGAGAGGAAAGCATGTGTTGTGTAGTTATTAAGTGATCTGAAAACATTTCTGTTCATTATAGATTGACCTAGGAAATGCGAAAAAAGATGGAAAACATTACTGTACTGTTAGCTTCGCACAAGTTGTACTTTCAACTCCACTCAGATAACAATGCAAATCCAGAGCAGTCAAAAAGTGCTTGGTCAACGTCGTTACTCGCTTACTGGTCAATACCATACCGGAGACAGTTCACCGCCGATCCAGTAGTACTAAGCTCCGCCCAAAGCCGGCGCGGCGCACGTGGGTAATTAACATACACGTGCCATGCACGCTGCATGTTCCAGCCGGACTTTCTGCACGCCCATGTCGGGCATGAATCACGAATGTGATTGGTCAGAGTTCTTTATTATACAGCTCTATGGTCAGAACACCATTAGGCGACGTCCACCGGAGCAGTGTATTCCTATTGGTCGAGAGCCTGTCATGGGGCGGTCTTACACCGCTGTTTAAACACCACGTTAGGTGACCATTGTGATCGAAAAGGTGACCCGAAGCAAGACAATAATTTCTGCTAAATTTCTTTTCAACAAATGATAATAGTTATTCTTTAAAGTTTTTAGGTTCTGAAGTTCGTATAAAAAAATATATTTTTGGTAAAGTAATAATTTTAAGATCGTTTTTACTTAAAGTCACTTTTTTAAATAGAGGAACAAAATATGGCGTAAGTTCGAGACTAAAAAGTTGCAGCAAAAAAATGTCGTCTGCTCGCCAGCGCTTCGCACGTGTCCCCGGTCAAGTTGTTATGTTGGCTGCCAAATTCACCGTGAGAACCACAGCATACCGAGATTTGTGTCAGACCTTGCTCAAAAACTCCACAGCTAGCTAGACCTTTTACCGAACTTTATTTTCCTCGTTTGTTGGAACAAGTAAGTAGGCATAGTAGGTACGTACATGCATTCAATTTCACGGTGAACATGTGACACTTTTATACGATACCGCAATGGCTATGCACTGGGTTTCGCTTCAAAGTTGATTCGTATTCCGCCTGATATTCTCTCCCGTTTGTTTATTAAAAGTATGCATATGAAAATAAGGTAAGAAAGTAGGGGACTCTCATATTTAACAAATCCTCAAAGTTGTTACTTTAAGAGGGTGTCATGTTATTTGTTTATATTTTTTCAAGATGCAAGATGGTTATTATTATCACATCAGTCTTGCAAGCCAGCGAAAGAAAACAGCATCAGCCATAAAAAAGGTACTTTACAAAGTAAGTTTATACTGTTACTAACTTGACAGTTCCGAACGCTCCAAAATTCGTACGATTTTTCACACAATTAAGGGATGTTTTTTTTTTTAGTGAAAAGTCACATTTTTTTAGGAAGAAATTTGAATTCCACCCATTCATATTTGAGTTGTTTTGTTGAAATTGTGTGTATAAGAAAAGTAAACACGACAATTATCAGTTTTCAGTTATAATTCACATTTTAAGTTTGTCAAAAGAGCAATTTATTTGTTTTTACAGATGTAATTGTTTCAAGTTAAAATAATTTTGTAGGCCCGGTTTCAGTTATCTCATATGTTTAATCTCAAATTTTAACAATTTATTTTATTGTATTATATTGTACAGGCCGGCAGTTTCATGCAAATAAATGTCTTTGTTCAACTTCCCTTTTAACTTTTCCATGAATAACCTGTGAACAACTTACAACAAATTAAATAGCCGTATTAATACTTGGTGTAATCCCTTTTTTTTTTTTAAATACCCAGCGCTCAACAGCTGATGCTCTGTGTTTTTGAAAGAGCGCCCTCCATTGGTGGGTCCAAGTCTTCCATCACGTTTCAACAAAAAAATGGCTGAGAAAAACGAAGAAAGTCCACGTCCTGTTTCGCCTGCAAAATCTGACAAAGCCGACGAAAAAGATGCTACCCTCGACCTGCTGGAAAGCGAATCCTCAGAGTCTGAGTCCGAGAGCAGAAAAAAGCATTCGGAGGAGAAGACGAGGAAGAAACGAGAGTTTAAAGGAGACGGAATCGACAAATCTTTGTCGGAGTTAGCGGTAAGATTATCATGCACTCCTTTATGTGTATTCCGTGTATTACCGACAGTAATATATCTTCCTGTACACTAAACACTCTCTGTTCATTTTGTAGTTTTCAATTACGAAGTGGCTATCGTTACGGCACTCGTTGTTTAGCGCCCTCTACGATATTTTTTTGATACGCACGCGGGTATATAATTATTTGTTTCTCCACGATTTATCGAGCAGTGCGCCAGCTCAGCCGATAGAGGGTAGGATTTTGCACCGCGAGGTTGCGGGTTCGAATCTCAGTTTTGCACTCGAATTTTTTTCCTTTTCTAACCTGAGGCTTTGGAGGATTTTTTTTAAAAGGGAAATAAAGTCCGAATTTCATAAAGTTCAAATTCACTTTTTTCCTTCTAATTTTATATTTTCTTGTCATGTTTTTTTATAAAAGTTGCCAGGTTGCAGTCTACCGTAACGATAGAAAATGGGAAATGCGTTACGGCTGCCGTAACAATAGCCACTGCGTTTCAATTATACTGAAGTGTACCGGGAGTGTTGACGTTGAAGTTGAACATTTTGAAAGTATTTTACAGTAGAAGTTCAAATGTTCGGCATTCTGAATTCCTTTTTTAGCTGTGTTTTATTGTTCTTTCCCCCTTTTTTTTGCAGTGGTTTTTGTTACGTTATGGCAGCTAAAGTGTAATGCAAATTTCAGCTGCTGTAATGGCGGAACTGTCTGGTTCCCTGACGTAAAAAAGTATTGATTTACTATTAAACGTTGCTATCTGTGGCCAGCTGTTGGGATCAGATTATCAACCAAATGGTTCTCGGACTTTAAGTTAATTTCCCTTTTTCAAAATCCTCCAAAGTGCATTGATTTCAAAGAAGAAAATGAAATCTAGGCCCTACTTAAATAAAAAGAAAACTTTGATTAAAAAACCTAAAACTTAAGAAATTCTTTATAAAAAAAAATTAAAACTGAATAGCACCCAGAGGTTCGAACCAGGATCCCCAGCTCATATTCTAATGTGTAACCAACCACGCTACCGAAGCACTCTGGTTGGATTGGCAGTTGTAAATCTGATAAAAGTTAGCGTTGTGTTTTTACCATGCAATTTATAACGATAGTATTTGAAATTTGCATAACGGCTGTTGTAACGATGGCCACTGTGCTTTGTTATGTCCCACCACCCTATTTTTTTTGGGGGGGGGGGGGAAATGGTGGGGTTTTCACATTGATTTTGAATTGATCACTTTCACTGTACATTGTATATATGTGTCATCTTGTTCACAGAGAAAAAAAGAGAGGACACTTTTGGTAACAGAGAGACCTGATTAATTGCAAAATGGCAATTTTGTCAAAAAAAGCAATGCATTGCCAATGGAGTTGGGTGTCGTGAGCCACTACTCCCACCCCCTCCCTCACCGACCTTGATAATAACGGGTGTCCGCAAGTACCTGTACAGTGCAGGACCGCAGTACAAAGTACCCAGTCCATCCATAGACTTCCTATCATCACTACACTTGGTCATTTCCCCGGAAACTGATCACGCCAGATACGGTTTCAGTCGCTATATTTGCATTGAACAGAACACCTGTCAGTCATCACCTTAATTTTTTCTTGAAACGAAATAAATGGGCTCAATCAAGACGAGCCGTCTTTGGCAATTGACCGGAGAGAGTCTGTAGGAAGAAGGCTGACTCTGATTTCCTGGTCGGCTGAAGTAGGAGACAAACATTGTCTTGCCCTCGCTGATACTGATTTATGGCAAGATTACAAGTATTCTAAGCTGTCGCAGAAGTGAATGGGTGGGTGCAGGGTCAGCCACAATTTAAGGGGCCATGCAATTTAATTTTGTTAATGTGCAGTCCTTGAAAATGCACAGTGTGTGCCATTCAACCTTATTTTCAATTTTTCGGTTTGCGTTTTCAAGGGTATTTTGGTTCCTTTTTGGTTTGTATGCTATTTAAAGGGCTCTTTGGGGGTCAAGGACCAAATACCACAGAATGCTACATGTGTTGTGCACACTTGTGTGGAAAGAAATGCATACTACAGGTTAGGGTTACTGCAACTTTCGTCTTAATTTTTAATGGTACATGTACATATAATTAAGGTTACAACATGAATAAAATTGCTAGCTGAATTGACCTGAAATACACAATCAAAAAGTTAAAGGCCTGACGTCTCAATCCTAACAGTAACAGAATCTTTCTGAACTCAGCCAAAATAATATGGAGACAGTAACAAATAAACAAGAAAAAACAACAACAAAGGAGACGATAGAAGGAATCACTTGAGGGCAGATAAAGTGAGCAAAGAACAAAGTGAAAGAACTCATGGTTTCGCAGGTACCCAAAATAATGGCAGTGGCTACCTGGTCCCAAAAATACCTGTAAATTGCATCTTTTAAATGTGATGTAAACTTTCCAGCACTACTTACAGTACTTGCATCAAGTCATGACAGTATCCCTTTGAATTGCGTCCTAAGGCAAAATCTCTGTGTTATCGACTTTCTCCCAAGTTTTCCGTCGAGTACATTGGTGCAAAACAATTCTGTAATCTGTATGCGCAATGCACCTTGAAGTTTGAATGGTGCCAGGGTGTGTTGGCTTACAGACTAAAATGTCACATTTTTTTTTTCTTGGCACCGTCGTGGTTTTCGTTGAGCCAATTAAACAATTACAGAAATTGCTCTTTGGAGAATATCGGGCATGAAGTTCAGGGAGTTTGACTGATATTTATGTTAGTCATTTGACAGTGATGGATCGGGGCTTGGCTTTTCTGCTTTCTGACTTTGGAGTTTTGAAGGTTTTTATTTTTCTTGTAGAAGTGACCGACTTTTTGGGCAAAATTTGATGTTGATTCCGTGACAAATGATTGATTGACATGGGAAATACTGCCACCCCGGTATAGATTGGCCAGGATGTTTATGCTGTGGTCACTATGCCTTATCGGGCGTCATCGGTATTCAGACTAGACTTGGCTCCAGTCTGTTCTATTTGTATTTTTGACGCTAACATACATGTAACATGTGATTGACGTTGATTCATAGTGTCTTGTCCGATGGTTTTTGTCACGAAGACATGCCCAAGACTACCTTTACTACCAGGAATCGGGGTTCTCATCCGAGTTCAGCTCAGTACATTTATACATGTAAATCTGATGAGCATTTTAAAAATATTTTCTCCATTCTTATAAAACTCCAAGTGGTACATATACCGTACGGTAGCCTACACACGTGTACGGTAGAGTGCTGTGGTCCATTTGTACAAATGTAATGTGCGACCAGTACGTGGGTCTCATAGAGACTAGATTGTGCCGATCTGCATGTGTTCGAACCCTGACAAGGAACATGGTGATTGTGTCCTTGGGCAATGCACTTTACTACAATGATAATTGCCTCTGTCCACCCAGGAGTATTACCGGGTACCTGTGAAGGTAGATACCAGATTGCACTGATCTTGGCTGCAGAAAACTGGTCTCATGGCCTGTTGAGCAGGGTAATAATTATGAAGCGTTTTGAAACCTACGGTACCTTTTGGGGGCCTTTTTATTTACTACATCTTCTGCTATAATTTTGTATGAATAGGGAAAACCATGAACTGTATCTGTGATATCTTGTCCTTGAAGTTTTCTGATCTGAAATTGTGATTCTTTCCCGCGTTAATCAGCTATCAGACGTTTAATCACCATGCCTGCTCTTAATCTGAACCCTGTGTGGTTAACATGGTAAATGCTGTCACGCGATTGACTACAGGTGCTCTGTACATACTTAAGGAGATAATTGACTGTTTGTCAACTCCTGTGTCATCCAATTAAATCTTTACTGAGCGGAAGTTCTATTTTATTCCTATATTTGGCATTTGCTTCACTGTGCAGTGAAATAGTGTTTACTACAGCATGGAGTTTACATGATCAGTTGCCTTTTGTGCATTTTTCAATTGAAGCGACAAATTTGCCCATAAATGTTAAGTATAGTGCATAATTAATAAGTAACCTTTTGAAGATTCACCTCGGAAGATACATTTTGAGAATTTTTAACAGAAAAAAAAAAATGGACAACTGTTTGGGTCTTGTAACTGGGTTCCACTGTTAGTGTTAGACACCAAAAAAGTTGGCCATTTTACATCACATTCAATGTTAGTCACCTAACATTTATGATATCATTTTAGGCGGAATAACTTTAATACAAGGCCTGTTTTTTTTTAATGCAATCCTTGAAAATGCATCTTCGTGTCCCATTAAACATAAAATATGGAGAAATCAGGAGGTCCAATTTAATTTGAATGTCCCTATAATTTTTTCCGGTGGCTGTGACATTCCTTTTTGGTTATTTTTATTTTAAGTGCACATTTCTGGACAACTGAGGGCGCTGTTGCTGTGATGTCATTTCAGGAAGACATTGTTCACTGACATGTATTGGGTTTTCTATAAAAATTGTGAACCCAAAATTTGCTCATTGAAAACATTTGTGAGAAATTTTTGCTCACTGGCGTACTGCTATGCACTGACACAACAAATCACCGAAGAAAATAAAATAAATATAACAGCACAAAATCCAAAATTCTGGCAACTTTTGGTGCAGAAATAGTTGTATCATAGAGGTTTCTGCCTTAAACGACATCACAATTTTGCTCATGAATATGGAATAGGAAATATGTTTAAGCGATCACAGGATTTTGAGTAATATTCAAAATTTTGCTTGAACTTTTGAGTGCATAAAACTTTTACCCACATATGTACCCCTGGTCTCTGTACTTTTCAGTGTACTGTATTGAACTCGGTCAACTCTTATCTTTGAAGTGTCGAGATTTTATCTCATTTCCACCTATCATAATGACAGATTTTCTTAAAATGTATAAAGTTCAGTTCTCAGTATCTGTATAATCCTAGGGGAAAAATTGAACGTTCAATAATAATTCAAACCCGATACCCTGATATTGTAAGTTGAACTTATGAGAGTGCTACAAAATCTCAAAGATCTTTACGAAGGGGGGGGGGGTGTTAAAATATCGCTTTAGTAGAAGGAAAA